AAGTCCTCTAGAGTCCGTTCAAGTCTATTCAAGTCCATCAAAGTCCCCTTAAGTCCGATAAAGTCTCCTCAAGTCCGTCGGACTTTTCAAAGTCCGTTCAAGTCTAAAGTCCGCAGTTTCCCCCTTGTACCACCTTCATCATCAATACAGCCCTCCGTCACAACCACATTAGCTCAACAACCATCATCCAGCACCATACAAACATCTACAATAGGATTAAATCGAGAATTAGAAACATTAAGAAGACGATGTTTGCATTATGAAGAACAATTAATCGATTTAAAAGAAGGATCGCTACGTAAGTATCCAAACTATTTTGAAGGTATTGCGATGATAGTTAGCAACAACGAAATAAAATATTTCGTACTTAATTCTCGCTTGCAGCTTATCAAACGAGGTAACCAATTATAATTCGTTTTTTCAGCATTACCGAATAAAAATACATAAGACTATTTAAAAAGTATATGTGCATTATACGAGAAACGACCGCAATTGAAATCAACCACTGCCAAAAATGTAAGTACAAATATTTTGTATTTTATTGAAATACAGATCATTTTTAATGCTCGTTTAAGATAGCTGATCAACTTCCATTGACAACATCTGAGTTAAATGGATGTTTACATACACACTGGTCACGAACAAACAACAACATCCTACAGGCGTGTTTTAAAGATGTCGATCTGGCTCATTTAAGTTATCAAAAGTTAAAAAAACAAACGCGAACACATTAATGAACATTCGCGGTAATTTTCTTCTTTTCTAACTACAACTTCGACTCCTCTTTTTCTCTTTTGTTAAGATTATGTTAAAGTAATACATCCGAATGAGCAAATTACTCAGTCAGCATTTAGCAAAACGGTATCATTAATCAACATAAGATTCAGCTCTCGTGCTTTAAATACAGGGCGATGGCACCTAAATATGCGATTTTTTAAATATGGATCGTCATTTTTAACTGATTCGTTACATACAGTTTATAGTGGTGCATTCAAAAAACTTTGTGATTTATTATTTCACAAACAACACAAGAAGCAGGAGTGGTCTTTACACAAGAAAATCAAGGATATTGATGATCTATTGTAGTGTGTGCGAATACCATCAACAACATCAAGACGTTTTCGTACCATTTCAATTATTAATAAATTCAAAGGGAGTGAATACCGAAGTTTATTCCATTTGGCTTTAGTACAATATTACTATTTGTTAAAGACACAGCCAGTTAAAACAGTTATTATTATCTTTCGTTACAGCGGTTAATCTGGCATTAAGCGATCAGATAACAATTGAAATAATCCAAACGATTAAGTTATTATCAAATTATTTTGTACAATCGTTTGAAGAGATTTCTGGCAAACGACATATGGTTAGTAATATCCATTCCTTACTTCATTTGTACAAAACAGTTGAATTTATCGGTCCCATTTGGATGTGTTCAACATTCAATTTTGAAGGTAAACAACTGATAACGAACGCCAATCTTTTTTCTCCTCCGCTTCTGTCCCAGGTATTGACAAAGATTTGATTGCAATGGTGCATGGAACAACTGAATATGCTAAGCAAATTATTAAATCACATACCTTGTTCCGCCATGCCATTATTAGCATCAGTGAACCGCGTTATCCATTATGGTTATTGCAATTTAATGAGCAATTAAAATTGAACAGATGCAAGGGTTTGACAATGTTTCCATATCACGTGATCCTGGCTTTCTCTGGATTTTTCCTAAATCATGTGCGAAAAACTCAGAATTCTGCCCGTAATTCTCAATTTTCTCTATCATAACTCAACGTTTGAGCAATAAAAATATCATATTCGG